TTTTATTTAATTAAATAATGCACCAAAGAACACGGAATAATAACATGCAGAAAGTAGACAATGTCTCATAACCATCACAATTTTTCTGATTTTCTAACTATGCGACAAGAGCCATTACAAATTCATCTAAGCTAGTCGATGTATTTCTTGTGGGAGTAAAGCTTGAACTGAAAGCAAAGTTGACATTTCTCTGTATAAAACAAAACTTAATAAAATAAATAATTTGACTGACGAAAACCTTCTAACTGTTATAAGTAATATAGTATTGAACATGAGAGAGAACCATTGGCAATTTCTGAAAGAGAGGATGTGACAGGTAGGTATGGCAAGTGTGTCTGATTTTCTAGTTTATGGTTCTGTAAAGAAATAAGATTGAAGGCTAAAGGCTGAAGATTGAGGTGGTAAATAAATTAGAGAAGAGGGGATGCACGGAGAAAATGTCACAATTCTCATAATAGGGGGAAATTTAGGATTTTTTTGCCTTATAAAATTAAGAACTTAAGTCTTATATACTATTAAAATATGGAATATTAACTACATTTTTATGCTATATTTATTGGTATATCTTGAAAAGAAAGAAGTGTAATTAAATTTTGAATGTAACTTACTAAAACCTTGTGACATGTGCAAAAAAAGATGGCCATGGAAAGAGGGTTAATTAAGTTTTGAATGTAACTCAGTAAATTCTTGTAACATGCACAGAGAATAGTTTAAAGAGTATGCAGCAGTCAAAGTGTTAATAACATGATGAGGCTCCAAAATCATTTTTTATAATGTACTCAACCTCCATAGTGTGTTTGCCATATAAGCATGCATGGAAAAAGGCCTTCAAGTCAATGGTCACAGGTATAATGCATAACAGCATAGTATAACCTATATTAGGTAGTAGTTAATATTTTATTACAAGTTATTAACTTATAAAAAACATGAAATATGTATTATGTACATCTATATTCTAACTTCTCATTTGCAAAAGTCCTACCACTTCTACTCTTCAATTTCTTTTCTTCAGAAAATGAAATGTCTTATTTTTTATCTTGACTTCAACACTACATATTATGTCTTTCATTACACCTGTTCTTCCACATACTAGGGTCTTTGAATATCTAAATATTGCAGGTAACTGTGAGTTCAGTGTGACAATGATTTACAACACATCTAGAGCTCTTATTATATAACATACATGATTGCATAATGTAAAATACAAACAATGAGTGTAAAACTTCAATAACAGATATTCTTATTATAATACTTGTTGTTATAGCATGAAAATGTTGCAAGAACAGCCATACTAAATAAAAGATGTTCTTGCACTGCACTTCAGGGAAACTATGTAACAGAAAAAGCACTAGGAAAATAACAAACTTGAAACTAAAACATAATGAATAATTTGACATACTCAAGAAAAAAGTAATGGAAAACCAAACTATCACCTTTGTAACTTACAATAAGCATCTTGTAACATACTGAAAATCTGTAAATCACTTGGTGAACTTGTAGCTTACATTACCCTATCGAATTACATAACACACAAGCTACTTGCAAGTATACCTCATGAAAATATTTTATTATTATTCCATATGTTACCTAATTTAACCTTATCCAATCTAAAAATATTCAAATTTTTACATTTTAGTTACTTTTATAATAATAAATAATGAATACACTTGAAAAACAGGAATTATAGTTATATACATATTAGAAGTTATGTATGGAAACCATAAAGTTCAATTTGGGGTCAGAAACTTGGCTGAATCAACTGATCCTGTAGCGAGAAAGTTAAACATGTTTTAACCCTATCAACATGGGTCACGGGTCAAAGGCCATGTCATCATGTTTGTTAACTCACATTCAAGATTTTATTGAATTACTATTTTATGAATTTATATCAGTCAGTTTAGTATCAAATTGTAGATTATAATTCAAATTTTAGTATTAAACATTTGTTAATTTCTTAATTTAAAAGTAAATATTACAAAAAAAACACCTAAATATAGATTTTTGTGTGTCCAAAGTCCATAGTTACGAATTAGGAACTCAAATTACCGATATTGACAAGCTAAAATATAAAATAAGAACCTCCTATCTTTTCTATTTGCTGACATATTGCTACATTTACTGAATCAAACACAGTGGCCCTGCCCCCTCTTTTCATTTTTGGAAACACTTGCTTACATACACTTACTTCTGTCTGTGATGTGTGAATAACCAATCAAAAGCTTAGAAAGTTCCCCTAGTGGATTTCTCAGCCTCTTTGAAGTATCTTGGCAGCAAACTCTTTCTTTTCATGTTAGATTTCAAGTGGTACGGTAAAACTTTAGTGAGCTCTAAAGTTTATATTTTTTTAGACCCAAATACAGCTTAGTTACTAAGCTTGATAAATTATAGTGGAATTCTATGGTACTGATATAGTAGTTTATGATTTTTGGTTATTTCAAAATGTACATATAAAACCTAAAAAAAATTGTTTCGCTTCACATCCTCCTCATGCGAAATCTGATAAGGTT